AAAACCAGTTGGAAGGTTAAGCCAAGTTGTTTTATGCTTCACGCTGCAATTTTTTGTTGCGGTGCCCAAATGGTGACACTTCTTTTTCCTATCACCTTCGTAGTGGCTGCTGTTCTTCTTAGCTCATGGAAAGGGCACCAGTGGGTGGCAACCACTTTCAGCCTTCTCTAGCTCTGCAGCCCAAGTTAGCTCTGCAAACCCAACAGTCAAGTAGGGGAAGTGAGAGCTCCCTTCCTTGGCTGGGAGCCAGCTTTTTCATCAAGGCTGCTCTAAGAACGACGACTTCCTGCCTCAACATGTGTATATTTTGGTAATGATTTATAAGAGAATTTGATGAGTCAGCAGTCCCTGCAGCTTCTCCATAGAATTACTGTGGGGTGCTTCTTTCTGCCTATCTGCCTCACCCTACCACTGTACGCACACACACACGCGCGCACACACACGCACACACGACTGATAGGAGAAGATGCGGAGCTGTCAGGACTTGATAGAGCAAAGACTTTCAGTAAAAGAAGCAGAATTAGAGCTGCTTTTCTTTTTCTTTTTTTGCCAGGTGAAAGGAAAATGTCTCCTAAATCAGGGTTGGCGTCACTGGACCCTGAGCCAAAAGGGTTACCTCAGCTATTCCCGACTTTTTTAGCAGGGGCACACCACTTTCTTCTGAAAATCGAAATAAAACTGAAACAAAAGCAAAAAAAATTCGTCTCTGAGGACTGCTTGAGAATGGACCATACTATCATGATTCATCACATGACATATTCTGTTATTTTGGGTGACCTTTTTGGCTTTTAGGCAAAATAATACGATTGGCCTTTTTTAAAAAATAATGTTACTGAGTTTTTAAAGCATTACAATCAAGGTTGCTTAAAAGGCATTATATATTAACATATATTACAGTATTACATGTAAACTATATTGCCACTGTATAAAGGCTATAGGCTTTAGAACAGTGTTTCTCAAACTTGGCAGCTTTAAGTTGTATGGACTTCAACTCCCAGAATTCCCCAACCAGATGGGGAATTCTGGGAATTGAAATCCATACATCTTAAAGTTGCCAAGTTTAAGAAACACTGTTCTAGAAGAAAAAAACTTAGCATGGTATATAATAAAATAGACACTAAATAAAGTGGGGGGGGGAAACTATTCTAAACTACCTAAACGAAAAATTAAAACATGAGAGAAAAGGATTCTTAAAATTCTAGAAAACATACAAGGAAAGAAACACTAGGAGAAAATCATTGGAAAAAATAGCAATGAAACATAGAAAAAGAACCATTAACTTATATAATGAGAATAAAAGTTCAATTTAATTTTTCTACCCTGCAAGGCCCAAATATGTTAGCTTGCTTTCAACACTGGAAAAATTATCTGATTCCTGCTCAGATTAAAACTAGGAATTGTCAGGATTTCTGCAGAGATTGCGATAATTCTCAGTGGGAGTTCTGGAATTGTTTGGGGATTGGGTTTACTTCTGCAAGCTTTGCAATTCTTAGGTTTCCATATTTTATTTATGGCTGCCCAGGAAGCTACATGGATGCATCCATGAAGTCATCAGTTTAACAAAAATGCTATTTTAATCCCTTATATTTATTCTTCTTTTTGGTTTTATTTTATTTAATTGGTGGCTTTACGTCACCTTTCTTAAAACTACCTTGATCGTTATCAGCAGTTCAGCCTGTCTCTTCTGGAGGAGAAAGTCAACATACAACTATTGTAAGGAAACAATGTTTTTTTAAAAAAAACAGGTAAAAGTGCTCAGGTTATAAATGAAAATTGCACTGTACAGACTAAAAAAAAAAAAGCACAGTGATTTGAATGCATATGACTTATTTTTTAAAGGACTGCCTATTTTGGCACCATGTCACTGATCACACCCTTGGCAGATCTCAAATGAATTAATAAATAAAAAGGATAACTATCTGAAGGGAAAATATTGCCCTGTTTGACCTTGCCACTGAAAATTGGGTTATTAAGGGGAGAAGCAGTACAGTTTTTAAAGATAATCCAGAGCCAAAGTGATCAATGTTCTTTTAGTTCATTATAGCTGAGCATTCTTCCCCAACTTGCCAGTTCCCAGAATTCCCCAGCCAGCATGGTCAAAGGCCAGCATGATCATGCTAAGAAGGAATTCTGGGAACTGGTGTCCCAAAACCTCTGGGAGTGGCCAAGCTGGCCAAAACTGCAATAGAGCTTCATCCCTAGACTTGGGTGCAAGGATCCATTGTCTAGGAACAGTTCTTTCAGTTTCAAAATGTGAAGGACTTACAATGCCTGAGTGAAAGCAAAGGGTCAAGAAGAAAAAGCTACTTAAAAGAAGAATATTTTCATTAAAAAAAATTCCTCTTTGGCTG